TAGCCGTGGCTGTCCTGGAACTCACTCTATATTCCAGGTTGCCCTCAAACTCACAGAGATCCACCTACCTCTGCCTCCCGAGTGCTGGGATTAAAGATGCGCACAACCCCTGCCTGGCCATTGCCCTATGTATAATAGTCAGAAATTGGAAACAACCTAGCCGTCTCTCAACAGATAAAAAGAAGCAAGCTGAGGACAAGTACTTGTGACAAGTCAGTGTGATCAGTCCCCTTCTGATTCTTTGTTCCTACCATGCTAGGTGCTCCCAGAAACTGAAATGCAGAACAAACAATTCCTTAAGTTGCTTTTGTCAGGTATTCACTGCAGCAATGAGAAAAGTAATACTAATATGGACAGTGTCTCACTGATTTATCCAGGCTGGCTTGGAACTCACAGTTCTCCAGTAGCTGCCTCTCAAGTAGCTGGAATTACGTTTTAGCCACTGGGATGGTCCCTTATATGGTTCTGATACACAGAGAAAATGTCACCAGTGATGAAAGGCCATACAAGAATCCCCTGCATTGCAAGAAGCTAAAGACCTTTTGGTCTATATAGAAGGAAGGGGGACTTCTGGTATTGCTCTCACTTGACAATCCTAGCTTTAATGGATGCCACTGTGTCAGTTTCAAAGTCAGTTTTTCCTTAGCAAACTCATGAGATAAAAAAAAAAAACAAAGTGTCAGTCACACAGAGAGAGCCTTAAGAAAATAAGTTTAACTTTCTGTATATTATATAATATATAATATTTATTGTGTATATTCTGTATATTTCTGTATATTTTTAGTACATTTGGCCTATTTTGTTTGTTTTTTATTTAATATATTACTTTTTGAGAATTTCACACATACATCCAATCTATATCCTCCCAACTATTGGATGTGGTTTTTTTTTTTTTTTTTGCAGCCACAGACTGCAATTCATACTGCCTACGTATTCATGGAGTCATCCACTGGAGCATAGCTGACCATCCAGTGGTCACACCCATAATGCAAACTGACTCTCCTCTAGAAGACATCAGTTGTCAATAGCTCCTCAGTTAGGAGTAGGAGTTCATAGCCCCGTCTCCAGGCTGGAATGTTGACTGGCTTGATCTTGCACTGCTGTAAATGAGTTAATGGGAATAGGAGTCTTGCATGTTCAGGAGACACTGTTCTGGTCTGGGTCACCCTTCAGCCCCCACCACACACACCTCTGGCTCTTAGTATCTTTCTAACCTTCCCAGGTCTATTTTTATAAAAGGAAATCTACTCATTATGTAATAATTTCCAGAATGTGGAACAGCAACATAGTGTCACTTTTTGAAAGGAAAACTCTTAAGCTTCCCTGCAGCCAGAACCCTGAGGATGAGGCCCAGTGATCTGTTTTAGTAACTTGCTGGTAACATTGATGCATAATCAGGTTGGAAAATTACTATCATCAGATAATATTTGGGCTTTTCTTTAAACCTCCCAAGAAAGCTTCATAAGCTCAAGACATGAAGCTTCTCCATACTTGGAAAAGGAAATATTATAATAGCTCTTTCCTTCTTTCTTTTTTAAATTTAAGTGGCCTTAGCTGGCCTGCAGCTCACTATATATCCCAGGTTGGCCTTGAACTCACAGTGATCCACCTGCCTCTGCATCCCCATTGACTGCTTGCAAATATAAATTTCATAGAATGAGCATGGCTTCTTGATTCTTCCCTCTGTAAACAGGCAGACTGCTAAATAGCTTAGCTGCCTCCTATGCTGAGTGCATGAAAAAGAAAGTTGGAAACATCGGTAGGCTTTCTCAGAAAGAAATCCACTATTTTTACTTTTTCTTTTGAAACAGCACCTCAGTAATTGCACTGGAGAGCCTTTTTACTGATTCTGTAGCCCTTGAAGGAAGGCCTTGAATTGCCCATCCTTCTGTCTAAGCCTCCAGAGTCGCTGGGATTACAGGACTGTACCACCAAGTCTGGCTTTCCATTTGTTGTATATTGTAAACATCTGCCTCTACTGTTGAGGGGTGCTCACAGGTTACAGGAGGAGGGAATCTGGCAGGAGCTACTCTTTGAGCCCCAAGTTCCTGCTCACATTGTGCTGGAGATGAAGGAAAGGGCAAAGCCTATCGGGGAATGATAAAATCTTAAGGGGTTTCAAGGGCTTGGCTCACAGCTAGAGAACTCCTCAAAACTGATGGAATCAATCCCTAAGATACACAATACAGACTTCTACCATCTCCCCTCCCCACTCCAAGCTGTTTTCCAGGTTTTCTATTTCTTAGAAAACAGATGTGATCAGAAGATTATTTCCATCCCTTCCATGACTAAACACCACAGCTGGTGTCTGTATCCATACACTCCACCTTCCCTCGGGATACTATTGTGGGGCCTCTACTCTAGTCCCAGGCAGTTACTTCTATAACCACATTAGGTGCTATGCCAGCTCACTTACTAGCGTCTCTCCAGCTTTTACCTTCTAATGTACCGCCGATCACATTAGCATGAAAAAGTGGGTTATTTCCACCTTTCTTTAAATATAAGGAAAGGCCAGGCTAGGGAGAAGGCTCAGCACTTAAGAGCACTGACTGCTCTTCCCGAAAACCAGGGTTTGATTCCCAGCAGCCACGTGGTGGACAACCGTGTGTGCCCAGTCCTTAGTGATTTGACTCCCTCTTCTGCCTTCAGTTGGCATTGCATACAGGCATGATCGTGGTCCACAGAAAAGCATGCAGACATGGTTGGTAGCATAACTTCCTCCCACTCTTCTCCTAAGTCCCTCTGCCCCATGTTTCACAAAGCTTTCCCACCACCCCGGCCCCAAACACGTTACCAAGATGCATTCTTATCTCCTTGGAACTAAACCCATACTCATGTATCAGACCTCATCTTACTAGACTTAATCAGCTTTGCTTGACGCAGTGAGTCACTGCCTCCTTACAACATTTCCTTCTGGTCACTTACAGAAAAAGATGCTTTCGTTAGGAATGCAAAGATAAATACATAATCCTTGCTTTTACTTCCATTGGGACTTAACTGCCAAAGAATTCTGGGCTTTCAGAATTTCCCATAAACCTAATTGCAGCAGTACTGCCAAGGCTTTTTAATGACATGGCACACATAGAAAAATAATATATTCCCCAAAGTCTGGGAATACTACACAAGACAGAAGGGAAGGGAGTCTCCACCCCCATTCCAGGACTGGGAAATAAGCTTCACACATGAATCCAGTGACTTCAATTTAGTCCTCAAGTATAACTGTTTCACGGACTTTCCTGTCCTACAGGACAGTGAGACTATTTAATATTCTCAGAATAGACTTTCCTGTCTCAAGAATTTGACCAGAAGGCTCAGCTTTCTTCCTGGATGCTCTTTAACAGGGAACAAGATCAAGTCTCTCAATTATTGCACTCAAGTATATTCTATACTCCAAGGCATATAGCACACAGGTAAACAGTGTTTTTAAGGCATTGGTTAAAATTCTGCTCCAGATATTATCATTTCAGTGACAATGATAAGTCATCTCTTTTTTTCCCCTGATTTTTTAAAATTAATTAGCTAGTTAATTTTTTTTCCAGCCCAATCATAGTTTCTCCTCACTCCCTCCTCTCTTCCAGTCCCTCTCCCCATTCCCCACTGCCTCTCTCAAGAAGCCATCTCTTGTTTTGGCTTTGTGAGACAGGGTTTCTCTGCGTAGCTCTAGCTGTCCTGGAACTCACTCTGTAGACCAGGATGGCCTCGAACTCACAGAGATCTAAGCAAGCAGCTTCTGGGCCTTTCCTCCGATGTTCTTTTCTGGTTTCTATCCCCTGCATTCAAGTCTATCACTCCCACACCCCACCTCTACCCTCTCCCCTAGCCCCACCCCCATTCCTAGACTTCATCCCCACCCTACTATCCCTTACCCTCACCACCTACCTTCCACTCTCCACCCTCTCCCAGCCTTTTAAGCAATTCTAGTCATCCTTTTCTCTCCTTCATTTTCTCAACCCCTTTTCTAAAAAGTGCCACAAGAGGGCAGCAGTTTCACACATTTGAATAATACTCTGGCATTGGGGCTCATTAAAATGCAAACGATAATATACTAAAAAAATAAGGGGACACAAAGTTGGATAGGTAGGGAAAAGAGATAAATCTAGGAAGGGTTGTGGGAGGGAGTGAATACAATCAAAACACATCATATGACATTCACAAAGAACTGATGATACGGTGATAAAATGTTATTGAGGTCTAGAGATTTCTGTGGAAGAATGGTGGTCTCAGAGGGAGAAGGAAAGGAATGAGAGAGGGCACTGGGGCATGAAGATGACCAAAATTCATTTTTTTAATGTATAAAATGTCAGAATTTTTCACTGAAAATATTTTTTTTGTTTTTGTTTGTTTTGTCTTTTATTTTTCAAAATAGGGTTTCTCTGTAAAACAGTCTTGGCTCTCCTGGACTCATTCTGTAGACCAGGCTGGCCTTGAACTCACAGAGATCCACCTGCCTCTGTCTCCCCAGTGCTAGGATTAAAGAAAGGCATGCACTGCCTATTGAAAAATATTTTTAATTAAAAATTTTTATAATTAAAACCCAAAACATGTTGGGTTTGATTTAATTAAATTTAAGAGTTTTACAATGATAAAAATGTATACATATATTACTACACTGTTATGCAATGATATATATATATATATATATATATATATAATGTTGTCCAAACTTTATTTTGCCTTTTACCTTGTACTTAACTATCTCAATCATATCAATACCAACAATAGTTTGATAATAAATTAAGTCATTTTCTAAGAAAAAAAAGTTCAATAATCCAGCATCTTGCTCTGTATACATTTCATATTCTGTGGCACTTGAATGATGAACAGAATACCTCTCCTATTTTATTAGCAATTTCCCAAATGGAAAAGAAAATCATACAAAGTGTGATGAGTGGTGCTGACCTGTTTATGTCTCTTCCAGATCCAGGTCAAGAAGAGGGGAGGCAGAACAGAGAGCAGCTCCAAACCTCAGACCAAATCCGAATGTAACTTTCTGAACCAGGATGGAGGGGGAATCTTACCACAATGAAACCACGGTCAACGGCACCCCAGTAAATCACCAGGCTTTGGAACGCCATGGGCTGTGGGAAGTCATCACTATTGCAGCTGTAACAGCTGTGGTCAGCATGATGACCATTGTGGGCAATGTCTTGGTCATGATCTCTTTCAAAGTCAACAGTCAGCTCAAGACAGTTAACAACTATTACCTGCTCAGTTTGGCTTGTGCAGACCTCATCATCGGCATCTTCTCCATGAACCTGTACACGACTTACATCCTCATGGGTCGCTGGGTTCTAGGGAGTCTGGCTTGTGACCTTTGGCTTGCACTGGACTATGTCGCCAGCAACGCTTCTGTCATGAACCTTCTGGTCATTAGCTTTGACCGTTACTTTTCCATCACAAGACCACTGACATACCGGGCCAAGCGTACCCCAAAGAGGGCTGGCATTATGATCAGCTTGGCCTGGCTGATCTCCTTCCTCCTCTGGGCACCAGCAATCCTCTGCTGGCAGTACTTGGTTGGGAAGCGGACAGTACCACCCGATGAGTGCCAGATCCAATTCCTCTCCGAGCCCACCATCACTTTCGGCACTGCCATTGCTGCCTTCTACATCCCTGTCTCCGTCATGACCATACTCTACTGCCGGATCTACCGGGAAACAGAGAAGAGAACCAAGGACCTGGCTGACCTCCAAGGTTCCGATTCTGTGGCAGAAGCCAAGAAAAGAAAGCCAGCTCACAGGACCCTGCTCAGATCTTTCTTCAGCTGCCCTAGACCCAGCCTGGCCCAGAGGGAAAGGAATCAGGCCTCCTGGTCATCCTCCCGCAGAAGAACCTCAACAACGGGAAAGCCAACCCAGGCCACTGGCCTAAGTGCTGACTGGGACAAGGCTGAGCAGGTTACTACCTGCAGCAGCTACCCCTCCTCAGAGGATGAGACCAAGTCCAGCACTGACCCTGTCTTCCAAGTGGTCTACAAGAACCAGGCAAAGGAAAGCCCAAGGAAGGAATTGAGTACCGAAGAGACAAAGGAAACTTTTGTGAGCGGGCAGACTGAAAACCATGACTATGACACTCCCAAATACTTCCTGTCCCCGGCTGCTGCTCACAGACTCAAGAGTCAGAAGTGTGTTGCCTATAAGTTTCGGTTGGTGGTAAAAGCTGACGGGACCCAGGAAACTAACAATGGCTGTCGCAAGGTGAAAATCATGCCCTGTACCTTCCCGGTGTCCAAAGACGCTTCAGCAAAAGGCCTGGATCCCAAGCTCAGCCATCAAATGACCAAACGAAAGAGAATGGTCCTAGTCAAAGAGAGGAAAGCAGCCCAGACCTTGAGTGCCATTCTCCTGGCCTTCATTATCACATGGACCCCATACAACATCATGGTCCTGGTTTCCACCTTCTGTGACAAGTGTGTCCCTGTCACCTTGTGGCACTTGGGTTACTGGTTGTGCTATGTCAACAGCACCATCAACCCCATCTGCTATGCTCTCTGCAACAGAACCTTTAGGAAGACCTTTAAGACGCTGCTCCTCTGCCAGTGGAAAAAGAAAAAAGTGGAAGAGAAATTGTATTGGCAAGGGAACAGCAAGCTACCCTGAATAGTCAGCAACGCCCCTCGAAGGAATAATGACCACAGTCTGGTTTGCTTTTTTTGAAGAACATCATCGGCCATTCTGAGTCCCCAAAGACTTGCCAAGGCTCAAGGTCTCTTATCAAATGAGTCATACACATAGCAACGTCTGCCATGTGAAGTGAATCTTGGCTATTACCAAGGCCACCTGATGCCACTAAAGTTTGCTGGTGAAGCAGAAAGGCAGACTCGGGGCCCTTCTTTGGAAGTACACTTGAGTCATTGTGAACAATGACTTTAGGAACTGATCTGTGAAGGATTGCTAAGGACCAGATGGAAATCTTCCCCTGTGGCATTCTGTCGTAGAGTATTGTGCAATATGTATGTGTCTATCTGAAATTGTCTTATACCAGTGAGAATCGGGAGAATGCAAGCCACTGTCACCTCTGGATAAGAGTGATATTCCACTGGCTTCTAAGAATATCACTCTTTGTAATTTAATCAGCATTTATTATGCAGCTATCACGTGCTTTGCTTTGTACTGCAGCATGTTTTTCTGTTCATATGCAGAATGATGCTTTTACTCTCCCTGTGAAACCATGATGATTCCCACAGACCATCAGTCTCTCAGAATCCTGAGTCAAGAAGGATGATGACATTGGCACACTTTGAACACTTGGTTTCATACAGGGGCTTTTATTCTGCTACTAATGATGATCAAGTTTCCATACCATAACAAGTTTGTGTTTTACCAATGAGGTAAATATTTCTCTAAACTAATATTGTATGTCCTTTTTGGTGCCCATTTGGAGTCTTTAATAAATATGCTGTGTTCTCAGGAGAAATTGATTGTATATCAGCCCTGTCCAGTAAGGCTCCTCTCCAGGATAGTGAATGCTGGGTCTTTTATGCTGTTTTCAGGGGAACTGCTTTCTAATCTCCTCTCAAGACAAGTCAGACATAAAACATGAAAAACAAATATGATTCCTTACATGCTTTCAAAATTCCTTAAGAGTCTTTGAAGTTCTCAATCCCCCTCATCCAGACCCGTAACTCACACCCAGACATGTGCAGATCACTGTCCTGTGCTGGGAAAGAACTGCTATTTGGGCAAACAGAGGGGAATGTTCTTGTTTTCTTTCTTTCTTTCTTCCTTCCTTCCTTTCTTTCTTTCTTTCTTTCCTTCCTTCCTCCCTCCCTCCCTCCTTTCCCTCCCTTTCTTCCTTTCTTCCCTCCCTCCCTTCCTTTCTTCTAGGTCTTTCATATTTGAAAGAGATGACTTCCTTGCTCAGTCCTATCCAAATTCACCCAAAAGTAAGAAGCTCAGACATATTAGAGTTGAGGATTCAGTGCAGCTGGTTATGGTCCTTATACATGAACCCTTTGGCTAGGAGGAGCCCAGTGATCAGGCACTTGGCTCCACCTGCATGAGGCACTGGTTTTGACCCCCAGCACCAAAGGAAACATTGTTTAAATGCAAGTTTCATCTTAAAAACTAAGTGTAAGTTACAGGGACATAAAAACAAAATTTATACATTTGTACACTGGAATTATTTAAAAATAGAGTTTAACTAAACTATTTAAATGAAGTATTTTTATATAAACAAACCAGAAGTAGAGTGGTGCTCAGTGGTGAGTGCTTGCCCAGCGTGCTCAAAGCCCTGGGTTTGAGTTTCAGAATGGGGGACAGTGGGGACAGGTAAGATGCTCCTTTGATGAGTTTAAAAATAAATACATGCACAAGAAATGAAAGCTGTGAGAGAAGCAAAATTAAAGAAAGATCCACAATAAAAGTCGTGCAGTACTACATGAAGAACTGGCAGGTGGGAAGTCCTGTCAGAAAGAAAAATCTGGATTTCATTTCACTCAATGGAAGCCAGCTCTCTCTCAACCTCATTTTCTAAGAGGATGGGGGGAAAAAAGAATTGACCTGGTTTCCTGGGAATTAGATATATATCTGAGTTCTTCCTCTGACCCTGGAAAAACAGTTATAGGCCAAAGAGCCTTCAGGATGGGGGACTCTTGGGCAGGACAAGGCTAGTCCACCCAGGCCTCTATTTCAGCCCTGCAGAGACCTGATGTTAAGATGGAGCATGTTTGATGCACCATAGTTGTGGAGCCTTTTGAAGGGCAGGTTGACACCTGCCAAGAATTTTGTAGAAAATACTAATTGGCTCAAATCTCTGAGAGAGAGGTTCCCAGGCCTACGTGATACCAGCAGGGTGTGGCTTTATGCAAAAACCTGCTCTACCAGCTCTAGACATACTTGATTCTCTTCCTTTAAGGCCTTGGTTGCTGGCAGAATTAGAAATCTTTCCTTGAAAATGTCATTTTAATCCTGTATGCATCACTTGCAATACAGGATAACCCAGTTAAAGCAAAGGGACCCAGACCCCGGAGTGGAGAGAGGATTGCTCCACCATCACATAGAATTAGCCTTTTTAGTTTATCTTTTGTGAAATTGATCCTTACTGGCTTCAGAGAGTAGCCAGGTTTACAGGTAACATGCCCATTAACATAGACAAAGCATACCCCCAAACCACTAGAGGAAACTAAAGTTTCCTAGAGTCAGGGCCTTGAGTGGGGTCTTCAGAATGCAAAGACTCAGTTGTTAACTACAGATACTGGGTAAGTGGGCAGGGCAAGAGCTGACCTGATCCCAGGCCTCCTAGGTTAGGATCCCAGACCCCAGTCTCCTGAGCTGTCTGTGATAAACTTTGTTCAGCTTTAACTACGTATTTATTGGATGATATGTGTTGATAATAATGTGATTTGTTTCTCTTTGGCTGTGAATTTGGTGACAAGTCCCAGTTTCCCATTCATGTTTTGGTTAAACTAAGCACTTTGTCAACATTCTTCAGCTTTGGTCCTCCAGTAAGTGTTCTCTGAGGATGTAGCTGTGGGCTCTTTGTAACTGTGAAATCTGTACCTAAACTTCTGGGTTGGGGCATACAGCTGCCTACTATAAATATTTGAATCACAGCAAAGCATATTGTACTCGTGTTGTTCTGGATATTAAAGACATTCAACCACGCAGTGATTCCATGAAAAGTGTTAAAACTGGAGAATGTGCTCTGGTTAGCACGATGGACCCAGTCTGTAACAGGGTCCTTCCCAGCTCTGCATGGCCTTCCCTTTTAAGACAGGGCACACAATATGGAATACACATCCCTGTTCCTACTTTCTGTGACCTGACATTCCAGCTACCAATGATCAAGTTAAGATTAAATAATGATGAAAAAAAAGTCTGTGGCTAAAATTCTTTCTTTCACCCGAAGGACAAGGGCGAGGAATAGACCTGGAAGCCCAGCTGTTCTCAGACAGGGACTCTGTGCCAAAGGGAACAGCCTCACTTTCTCCTCTGTCATTTCATTACAATTCTGTGATTGGAATTTCCATCTCCTTCCAGTCATTTCATGGGTAAAGTTCAAGATTATGCAAGTTCTTCACTAATTTAAGAAAATCTAGAGAGGGAGTGGGTAAGTGTGTCAGGAAAGGAACCAGGAGCACCTATTTATTTATTTATTTATTTATTTATTTATTTATTTGGTTTTTAGAGACAGGGTTTCTCTGTGTAACAGCCCTGGCTGTCCTGGAACTCACTCTCAGAACCAGACTGGCCTCCAACTCAAAGAGTTTTGGGGTTAAAGGCATGCTCCACCACTGCCCAGCTCAGAAGCACATTTTAAAAAGAACACATTCCTTTGAATTTTAAACTTTATAGAAGCTGAATAAATACTACAAACAACTCTTTACCCTTCATCTATTTCACAAACCCATTAAAATTTTGTCCCATTAGTGTGCACTCTCTCAGTGTACACAGCTGTGTGTGATGGCATACAGCTTTCTTTACCTGTACTGTCTTAGAGTAGGTAGTCTCCATGTGTCTATTTACCTTGGACTGCCTCCCTGTGTCCCAGTGTGTGTGATTTTTTTTGTTTTTTTTTTTTTCTTGTCCCTTTTTTTTTTTAGATAATACCTTATACCTTTTTTTTGTTGTTGTTCAAATTAGGAACAAGCTTGCCTCACATGTCAATCCCTTCTCCCTCTCCTTCCCCTCCCCCCAGCCCCCCACTTGTCCCCTCCCTCCCCTCCCTACTCCCCAGGGAGGGTAGGGCTCTCCATGGGGGGCCCCCCAAAGTCTACCACATCATCCTGGGCTGGATCTAGGCCCCTCCCACATGTGTCCAGACCAAGAGAGCATCCCTTCATGTGGGATGGGCTCTTAAAGTCCCTTCTTATACCAGGGAAAAATACTGATCCACTACCAGGGGCCCCATAGAGTACCAAGACTTCCTCATTGACATCCAAATTCAGGGGTCTGGATCAGTCTCGTGCTGGCCTCCCAGACAGCAGTCTGGGGTCCTTGTGCTCCCCCTTGTTCAGGCCAGCTGTTCTTGTGGGATTCACCAGCCTGGTCCTGACCCCTTTGATTTTCATTCCTCCCTCTCTGCAACCGGGTTCCAGAGTTCAGTTCAGTATACAGCTGTGGGTGTCTGCCTCTGCTTCCATCAGCCACTGGATGAGGACTCTAGAATGGCATATAAAGTAGTCATCAGTCTCATTATAGGGGGAGGGCATTTAGGGTAGCCTCTCCACCATTGCCTAGACTGTCAGTTGGTGTTATCCTTGTAGATCTCTGGAAATCTCCCTAGTGGTGCCAGATCTCTCCTGGGACTTACAGTGGCTCCCTCTGTTATGGTATCTCTCATCCTGCTCTTCTCTATTCTTCCCCCAACTCAACCTTTCTGCTCCTCCATTCCTTCCTCTCCTCTCCTCTCCTCTTCTCCTCCTCTCCTTCTGCCAGTTCTCTCTCCCCTACCCTCATGCTCCCAATTATCTCAGGAGATCCTTCCCCTTCTCATTCTCTGGGGGATATAACAACAGACACCAAGGAAATCCTTGTGTGTTTCTTAAGAACAAGGTTACTTTAGGTAACCGTTGCACAAATGACAAAAATCAAGAAAATTGACATTGCTACAGTGTTGTTCTGTAGTCTATAGACTACTCAGATTTCACCACTTGTAC